CCATGTTGAAATAAACCAACCAGCTACAAGCTCCTTGTGGTGTCTACCTCACTCCCCAGTTCATACAAAAAAAAACTGCATAGATACACGAATGTTGTGGTCACACACGAATACGACTTCACATTCTAGATGTGAACTTGAACTGGCTTTTTTTAGCCCTTCGTACAATTTTCCAAAAGCATCCAGCCTCAAAAAACACAAATTAGGAAAGTTGGGCCTGGTCATAGCATCAGAAATTTACAAAATCTTTCCGGGAAAATGCTATGCTTATTAAAAAAGTTCATTAAATTTTTTGTACTAAATGATGTGACACAATTTTCGATAGTAAATATTAATAAAATCTATTTATCCAATGATAAAAAAATGGTGTCACACCATTTGTGACGGAGATTTGATAAAAAAGTTTGATAACCATTACATTACCCTGGTGGGCTGGCAGGCCCTTCGCTTCCATGAATGAGAAAGTCACGTACAATCTTCCCCAAGAACATGTGCAATCTTCGTGCTCTTCGTCTCAAATTATAAAAGAATGTGCAATTGTTTTTGTTTTTTTTGTTGGTTGAGAACAAAGGTTGGGATAAAGGAGAGTGCTCAAAAATCACTTCAATAAGTTTTTACTGGTGGGATCGTGAGATTCCTGACCGCGCTCATTACTTATCCAAAAAACGAACATAACTAAGCTAGCATGGCGGTGAATCACCGAGCCCGAATATAGATTCTAGGATTTAAATCTCTAACTTCAGAGTGAGAAATTCAGCCGATACACCTGTGATAAGGAATGTGCAATCTTTTGGCAAGAAAAACAGCCCTATTGAGAAGCAAGGAGGAGACCACCTTGTGTGGGCCCGCCTTCTAATTTTTCCAATCTCCACGCCGAGTATTATGGAGTTCTCATCACAACATTGTGGGTTATTAAACCATTATTAAGGGGTCAAACCTAGTCCATATCGTCTTTTATTTTTTTCCAACGCATTGGGCTGGCAAAATACAAAACTAGGTATCTGTTTCGTCCTCCTTTCTCTCTTCCTTCCTCAAAACCCAGCTTTATGAAGTCCTCTCATGTCTCAACCATTCAGTCTTCTGAACATCATTACGAACACAAGCTTCGCTAAATAGCGCCCAAAAAACAAAAAAAAAGTGTGCTTTACATGAGGGTACCCTTCTAAAAATGAGATCATTGTTGAAAATTAATTTTAGTTTGGTTTGATAATTTACATTTTTGAAGGGATATGATTGAAAAACACATTGTTTGAAGAGTTGTGACTGTAAAAAAATCCATTGTTTTAAGACTTTGGATTTTTATTTTTTTTCTTTTGAAGGGGAATGGGAAAAGAGACTTGAATTCTTCATGTCACGAAGGTAAAGCCTTTACATGACAAGGAATACTATTAGACCAAAACACTCTAACGAAAAGCGCTCTAATAAAAAATTCAAATTTAACTGAGGAAAAATTCAAAACTAAGTAAGATAAAATATGACTATTGAATATTTGAACAAATGCACTATGTACTTTATATAATCATTCAGGGGTAGAATTAGATAAAAAAAAAACCACCCATTACGTATTTTAAGAAAAAGTATGTTTTGGAAAAGTAAGAAAAATTATGTTAAAAGCTAGACAACAATAGTAATCAATCGTAATCACGTCAACTTTGCACTAGACTCCCCCTCTTTATCTAACTAGAAATAACCTCGTACGTACCAAAAAATTTTAATAAAGAAAGAGAAAATAAAAGAGAGATAGAGAAGAACGAAGGGAGAAAAGTTAGGACAATGACCTTGACTTTTGATTCTCCTTTACATATTACCCATTACCCATTACTTTGTTTGATTTACTAAATTTGTCTCTCTAATTTCTTGAAAATTGATAATGTAAACTAAGGTTTTTGATTTTTTTTCAAGTTAGTAGTCCATTATCCCTCTAAAATAACTATACCATCACAACAAAACCCCGTTACATTTCATCCATATCAATGATAGTGACTTCATATTACTGAATCTCATATTTCTGAAACTCATCGCATCATTTTTGGTTATCAACCCCTTATTAAAGGACAAACCAGTCCATATCGTCTTTTATTTTTCCTACACGTTAGGCATTTCCCACCAGTTTGAACGAAGATAAGGACCATTGAAATTTCTGGCATCCGCTCTACCCAAAGAATCCAAAGCAGTGCCATCGGTGGACAATTCCAAAATACATTTGCTTTTATCAGCAAAATACATTTGCTTCATTGTTCTTCCCAAAACCCCAAACTTAATCTACAACTTCTCCACTGTAGAAGGGCAACCCAAGTCTTACCAGTCACATTGAATAAATCATTCCACAAACCGTATGCAAATGAAAAGTACATGGACAAATGAGAGGACAACAAACCAAACAAAGGCCTTGACATGGGAGGAAACTTTGTCTATGCAAATTAATTTGGCTAAAAAGAAAGACTTAGTATTCTGGGACCTAGGGAGTTTTGATTAGAACGATCAAAAATAGAAGGTACCTGATTTATCAACAATCCAAATCGTACAATCATGAGAAGAACAAGATGGAAATTGTGAATGGTAACAAGCAAAGAAGCTAAATCTGCTACGTCTCGATCATTCAGGCATCTCAAAAGTGAAGATCCCAAGAATAAAAGTCCACCCCCATGATAAGAAATGAAGATTTAGGAGCCCCAATGATAGTGATTTGATAGTGACTTCAATTGAGTTCCGTAGTTTGTCGTTGTACCATAAGATCACGGATTCGAATTTCACTAGGCTCTCCCTTATAAAAGTTTTAATAGTGACCAAAAAGAGATTGATTTATTGTCATCTAGAACAATGAGGTTGCTCTATTAACATCTAGGTGTTGAGGGTTCGAATTGCAAAAACAACCTATCCACATACAAAGTATCACTATGTGTGTTCTGACCTCCCTCAAACTCTATAGTGATATGACGGGAGCCTCGTCTATTTGACTTTGTTTTCTTCAATTTTTTGATATTAGTTTATTGAATTAAGCATATTGTAAAATGTCTGTATTGTTATTCTTAGCAGTTACAAGTCTCAAGTTTTGGACTATTTTTCCATTTGTTGTCACTGATCAAAAGTCTTTAAGGTTATTATGAGTAGACTCGGTGTGTGTTTTTTTGGTTAAGATAGATGGGAAGGAATCCTACCAATTAAAGATTATTCAAATCTCACAATCAAAACAAAAAAAATAAGTTTTGAATGTGTATATTGTATTTTTTGTGGATTTGTTCACACCCTTTTTATTTTTGGGTAAAGGCTACATACCAATTTTAATTTCAATGTAAGGATTTGGAAGTAAAAATTCCAATTATAAAGTAAAGGTTTCAAGCTTTAAACCCCTATTTCAATTCATACTTAAAAGTAAGAAGGTGGACAAGATATGAAGGCAGGGAGAGACAAAAATTATTGCTCTAGAGTTCCCAGTTGAATGACAATCATCAACATTCGTTACCACTTGCAAGCAGATAGAGTGATGGTTAACGATCTTCAAGCATTTAAATGAACTGTTAGTCTTAGGCTGTCTTCGTCGAGTTAGATAGGGAAGATTCAAGTAGAAGAACAGGTCTTATCTGCTAAATCAATCTCATCACATCTTCAACAATCTGCGCTATTCTCTAATTCCCTACTTGGGTCTCTTCGAAATTGCGGTTCGTTCATATATTGGCAGCTAATTTTCATGTATTTGTACTACCTTTTTTTTCTTTTTCTTTTTTTGTTGAAATCTTACTATTTTTAATTTTTTTCTCCAAAATATTAATATTTAATGCAGTGTTCAAACTTGTGATATCACTAACCAGCCATAAGCTAATTCAATCCTTTTCTTTTCCCCAAACATGGATTTGACATGACTGAATGATACACAAACATAAGGCAGCGTAACATTATTTTGACCAAGTATGCCACGAAAAATGTGCCATGCGGTCATTTTCTCCCTTGGATTTACCTTTGATTAAGAAGATTTTGAATATTTTCAATAAACTTTCTATTTTCACTCAATTCTTTATTTTAAAAAGTTAATTAACAAAATTCATCTCCCATAGACTCTTTATTTAGATTATCTGAAGTAGAAATTCTAATTTGATTCTCTACATTTGAAGTGTCAAACTCATTCTCTAATCTATATTAATGAATGACAAAATGGCACGTACAAATTTCACAAAGAACAATGCTATAGGAACTTTATTTGGAGGTCTAATTAGATATCTAATTCAACTTAATCATTAGATAAGTTGTGAGAAGCTGATAGCTGATAGCCTTGAGCAGTAAAGAATGGAAGAAGCCGATAGCTGTGTTCTGTGTTATCAATCCCCGTTGTGAGTACGGTTTGTGTGTGTGTGTGTGTTGGGGGGGAGGGAGTCATTTGTTGTGTAAGAAGAAAGCAGGAATAAGACTGCCCATATGAGCAGTCACTTCTAATCTTCATGAGCAAATAAAACTGTGTAAATGATTGTCATCTTCAGTGTAAGTTTTGTCAGAATCTAGCAAAGAAATGGGGTATGTAAAAAGTGCATGCAACCAAAGAGTTTCCATGAACTTCAGATTAAGAAGTAATTTGGGCATGTCACCGTTGGAGGCATGAGGATCTTCAAATTCATGGTCTAACAACTGCCCTCATATGCCAAGCAGTGTTTATTTCAATAAGCATGATGTCGTGCAAAACATTTACTCACATGTAACAATGCTAACAAACTCAAGAAAAACAAAAACAAAAAGCAAAAAACGTTCATGGTACCTCAGATTTGCAGACTCGATGCTCCCTGAGTATCAAAAATGGAAATGAAATAGACTGGCTGAAGATGAAATAACAGAACCCATTTTTCAACAGACCTAGTGATACATTCTTCCCATTCTCAAAAAAGTAAAGCAGCGAATGGGACATCCCAAGCAAGCCATTAAGGCGCACAACGCTAAAGACATTGCCTACAATCTCCAGGGCAAATGTCACAGAAGGAAATAAAGTAATGAGCAAAATAGCACCTTGATATTCATCAATCCTCCTCAAGATTGATGGAATCCTTAAACTTGCCATACAAGATCTTCTTCAACTCAGCCATCTGCGCAAGTATTGATTCCTTCTCCTCCTCCAGTTTCTCCAAGTTTTGGCTGGTCACCTCTTTCATTTCCTCTATCCTGTTTTCGACTTCTTCCTTGGGTACATGAGCAAAAACCTCCCCTATCTGGAAGCGCACCAAATCCTCGTCAGTGAGAATTAGCTCATTGCTTGCATCCTCGAGATTTTCGTTTGTTTCCTAAACAGAAAAAGGAGACAAGGAAAAGCAAAAAGAAATTAAATAACAAGAACATGACAGAAAAGACTATACCACAAATAAGCATGTGTACATACTTCTTGCCAGAAATTGAGATTCACCAGGTGAAAGTCTTATGAAAAAAACAAATGGTCGGCAATCACTTAAACACGATTAAACCAAGGGAAACCCTACTAAATTAATACAGCTGAGAATCTTGCACAGGTTGGCTGACATCCTTGCAAGGACCCCTTCAACTTACAACAAGAAGCAGCTATATATTAATTTAATTTTCAGCTCTAGATCCTCGCTTGAAATTAACATTCTCAAAAAGAAATATGGACGCAAGATGACCCAAAACTTATGGACTTGGATTACCTCCAAACGGATGACCCAAATACCTTGCAGGCCACTCTGACATAAAACAACCAAAAGCTCCAGCCAATCTAACCAACTTCGTGCTGCCTCAATAATTCTAGCAATTGCATTTTTGGACATTTTTACTTCCAACCCAAAACCAACTCAAAACATTGCAATATTGATGAAATCGTATAAAAATACTTTTCATACCGCTCAAAGAAGAAAATTGTAGCATCTGCACACTGTAAATGATCACCTCAATCCTTTGCCTACCAATCCTAAAACCCTCCACCAAAGATTGACTACTAACCGTATTCATCATCCTACTCAAACCATCATCAACCAACTTAAAAAGAAAATGTGATCAAGGCTCACCCTGCCCTAGCCCTGTAGAAGCATCAGAACCTCCTCTCAAAGATTTATTAATGCTCAAGAAGAAATTCATATACCTTAATCATCCCATGATCTATGGTTGCCATCTCAACACAAACCCTTTCCTTTCCTGAACGAAATCCAAAAAATCCCAATCAACATTATCACAAGCTTTCTCAAAATTAACATTTAAAACAAGACCCTCCTTTTTCTTCTTAAAATCAAAGCACCTTAGTAGCTACCAACACCACATCCATAATTTGTGGGCCGCTCTTTGCATCTCCGAAAACGGTCTCATGCAAAGCATCATGAATTCTCCTTGACAAACTTTAGCCAAAATCTTATAAATGTTTGTCACTAAACTTATTGGCCTCAAGTCCTTAATAGAGGCCCTTTTTCAGGTGTACAAAAAACATGGCATTGGTACATAATTTCACTACATTCTCATGAGATTCTAAGGATAATTACGTTCAATCCTCTTTCATTACTTCCCAACATTTCTGAAAAGCTATCGTAATAAAATCACCTGGACCTAGAAACTTATCACCACTTAACTGAAACACTGTTGTTTTGATCTCCTCTTCTTCAAAGGTCTTTCAAGCCACACTCTATTACCAACAATAGAACTCGCTCTAAACCATCAATTCTAGGTCTCTCCTATCCATCCGAATAGTGCAAATTAGAAAATTAACAATCTCCTCCGTAATGAGGCTTACACACTCCACGAACACTCCAGACACCATTTAAATCTTGTAATCAGTTTGTTCTTTAACATTACATTTGCATTTTGCATCGAAATAATTTCCTCTTTTAACAACAAATCATTATATTTATTTCGAAACTCTCCTTGCTAAGATTGTCATTTACATCACCGGACGCTTCCAAAAAATCTATCTTCTCCATTCTCTTCACGATACCACCAAATAAGTCTCTCATTCCATTCTTCCATCCAATGCCTCACTATCTTAAGTTTCTTCATGAAAATAAATTCTTCCCATCCATCCTCCTCTGCCTTGAACCACCAACATTGAAAATTCATGACAAAAAAATAATGTTAGTCAACAAACATAGAAGGAATTGGTTCCCATATAATAGAGAGGTATATAGATCCACCAAATTGTGGGGAACATGAAACACCTCTTTGGCTCTTCCCAACCGTGCAGAAAAAAAATCTATCAACCTACAACATATCAACTTATCCTAAAAGATTAGACAGAGTAAAACTAATGACAAACAATGGATGATCTAACCATTGCATGATAATGATGGAATTTGTATTATTCTACAAGTTTAGACAAGAGTTATTGCGCTTCTTTTGAGCATATGATGCATTTTAGTGAGGTTTTAGTATTTCGGTCTCAATTGAGAGTGATGTGATTTTTATAGGAGATGAAGCCTGGAATTCAATACAAGATTGAGCATTCGAAACAAAGTTCAAATGTTCCAAAATCATTTAAGATGATTTTATGGTTAACATTTAAAAGGAAAAATGTTTTAAAAGCATTATGGAGCTTAAAGAGAGCACTTTGGTCATTCAAAGTGAAGGTCAATTGAGTGAGGTCTTTTAGCACTTGAGTAGGATTATTTTTTTGCTTGTTGTTAGGAAAATCCAAAATATATGGTCGAGCTCCTTTGGCTAGCCGCTTGAGTGGCAATATGAAATTTCAGCTCCAATAACTACTAACTTGAAGGCTGCTTGCTAACCGCTCGAGCGGGTTATGGTAGAGAGTCCTATTTCATTCAAAATGGCAGTTTTTTCAAATTTTAAACCGTAGTTTCATTTGTTTACTATAAAAATGTGTCAAACCTATAAAAATAGAATACTACAAGAAACCAATAGCCTCCAACACTGAGATTTTTTAGTTTTATGAATTCCAAGACTAAAAAGATCTTTGTTCACTTTATTTTTTTCATTATTATGGATCACTAAACTCCAAGCTATGCTAGGAGTGAAACTACTAATAAAGTATGCTATTTTCTCATAATCTTTTTTATGTTATTAAATGCATAATGTTTTTTATTGATTTAGTGTCTCTATTAGTTACAATGAATGCTTGGAATTCACTATGAATCAAAGAACGGATTTTGTATATTCTGATCAATCAATTAGAAAGCACAGAGACTTCAACAAGGGGTGAAGTATTCATATCCGTTACGTATTAGATACAGATACGAGTCAAATACTCGATTATACGCATTTGATATGATCCACAACTAAGGAATTAGTAACACTACATTTATCCTTGTTGGATGCTTATGAGGTATATATCAGATGCTCATTATACTTAACGAGGTGGCTTGTGTTGATTTGAACTGGTCTTCGTGTTTAGTGGTTCGATGGGCTAAATTAGTGCTCATTATTGATTTTGCAGAGGATTAGATCTTTGGAAGTTTAATACAAACCTCCCTAGTAGAATCGTTTAGAAAATGAGTAAGGTAACACATTTTGGGGAGATAGGTATTGGGCTAAAAATCTAAGAATGGAATGAGGACTTCTCGAGCTAACCAACCAAATATTATGGCTTTCATTAAAGTTACATAAAGCATCGGATTGAACACACCATCGTGTGGTCCTTTAGAATTCTAGTTTGGGACTAATTTATCACCTAGCCTTTGGATCCAGTATTAATAAAGCATCCTGTCATTTTATTAATATGTTATATTATTATC